GCTCAACTCTGTCACATGCTGGCTGTGTACCCAAGGACAAATCCTTTAACAACATGATGCCCTTGGTAGCTCTCTAGAGCAAGTGCCAATCTGCACTGGTATCATTTCCTCATGAAGAGTTTCCTAAAAGGCAGACAGGTGAGAGCACCAGGCCAGAAGTCAGGGAGACCAGAGTTCAAATACACCTTCACATACTCACCAGATGTATGACCCTGGACAAGTCACTTAACCTGTTTATCTCAGTTTCCTCTTCTGTAAAATGGGGATAATAATAGCATCTCCCTTCCAGGGTTGTTGTGAAGAGCAAAGGAGATAATAATTGTTAAGCACTTAACACAATGCCTAGCACATACTAAATTATATATATAAATATTAACTATTATTATTATTATTATATCAATGAAATCATTTGGACTGGTTCAAAAATAAAACAAAACACAAAACTGTAACAGTACATAAGAAATGGTAAACTACACGAGAGTTACCATAGACCACAACAATTTCTTCAACTATGGAAGCAGACATTTTTGTCAGATCACTGCAACATCATTACAAGTTCTACACCAGCTAGGATAACATAGAGACAACTCTGTAGTGCTTGTTTGTTTATAGTTATCATAATTATATGCTGCAATGATTTCAATAATGTAGTTTATAAAAACTTTTCTTCAATGACACATCTCTATCTTGTTATATAAATCACTGTCCAATACAAAACTTCTAATATAGTGATTATAACTGACAGTAACTTTCAATCAACAAGCATATATTAAGTAGAGAGATGGGAGATGGGATGTCACGTCTGAGGAACAAGGTCAGCCCGGCTCGACCTCAGGCCACAAGAAGGGAGGTAATGTGTAATAAAGCTGAGAAGGTAAGTTTGGGCCATCCAGGAAAGTCTGGAGAGGCTACAGTGATGGGGCAAATGTAATAACATGAAATTTGACAGAAAAAAAATGGAAAATCCTACACTTGGGTTAAAAAAAAATCAAAAGAACAAGTATAGGATGAGGAAGACATGGCTAGACAAGAATTCTTTAAAAATCACTTGAGGGTTTATGAGTTAAAAGTCTGACAAAAAAAATAATGCAATTTTAGACTAATAATAGAAGTTGGATGTCCAGAATGAGAGGTGATAGATCTGCTTGTATCTGTCCTTGGTAAGATTATATCAAAAATTCTGCATTAATTCCAGGCATCACATTTTAGCAAGGACAATGATAAAAGCTGGTGTGAAGTGACAGGAGGTTGAATAAGATGTTGGGTGATGGGATTTAAAGCAATTTAATCAGAATATTAGTTGAAAGAACTGAGGATGTGGAGCCCAGAGAAGAAACGACTTTCAAGGTGAATGTGAGAGCTGTCATCAATTATTTCTAGATTAGGATTTAGATGCATTTCTCTTGGTCTCAGAGGTCAGAGCTAGGAGCATTGGGTGTCAGTTGCAAAGACATCGATTTCAGTTCAATATGGAAATACTTCACAATAACTAGAGCTGCACAAATATGGAATGGGCTTCCTCAGGTGACAGCGAGTTTCCTACCACTGGAAGTCTTCAGGTGAGGCTGGATGGCTATTTGTGAATATTATAAAAGGGGATTCCTGCTTAATTACAGATCATATGAGATAACATTTGAGGTTCTCTCCAACATTATTCTGACATTATATGACTCTACAGCATGAGCTCTTAACCATGAGGTCTGATTTCAAGGGGTCTGGGAAGTTGGATGGGGAAAAATCTTGCATCTTTATTTTTCACTATCTTCTAACTAAAATTTAGCATTTCCTTTCATTATGAATGTGTACAACAAATCACTATTTTAAGGGGTCCATAAGCTTTACAAGATTGTCAAGGGAGTCCATGACCCCCCCAAAAAAGGTTACGAACCCTCATATCAGAAGTTGTGAATTTTCTTTACTCCTACAATAATAAGAAAGATGTCTTCATCAATTTAAATATTAATTCTGCTCTGTAAATGTTTTTAGTCGTGAATTATAAGCAATGGGTGGCTCAATGCCATCTGATACTTTGGGTCTAAGCAGAATTACAGCATGACAAGCTGCAGCACTGATTTTATAAAAATGTTTTATGTCCATCTTAATGCACTATTCAAAAACCATTTAGCATTCTGGAAAGCTCATGCTGCTGAGTCTAAGGTCAGAAAATTCTCCTTTTCAAATAAATGATCAAGTAGCTTAGAATGATTGCCTCTTACGGAAGAAAACTATTACAAAAATTGAGTAGTCTCTGAAAGGCTTGAAGCTTTTGCTTTGTCCTAAAAAGCCCAAATATAAGCCACTAGAAATTCCAAATCCATAGCTCTCTTTTTTTTTCTTTTGCTCAGATTCACAATCAATCAAAACCACATAGAACTTCCTGAAGACTTTCCATAAGTTCAATTTCAGCTGATATCATAACTGGGATACTACTGAAATAAGGTGCCTGCCATTCCACAATTTTTACCTAATGAGAATTCTACAAAACAGGGACTCCAACAAGCACAGACTATAATCCTAAACAACTGCCCTGGAAGGTCCTTCAATATGGCTGGGCATCCACAATTAAAATGCACCCGGGATCATCAGTTGTTAATGAGTTTGGACGAAGTCAAGTAAAAATAAAATACTTCTAACCTGACCATAAAACATTTACTATATGATATGGATGTCGCTCTAGTCCCTCCACAAGGTTCTGAATTACTATCAACCTACTTCTTTAACATTTAGTGAGGTAGATAATGTCATAAAACATATGAAAAGGAAAGGAAAGGAAGTCATTGAATCTAAATACTGCCTCCTCCCCCTCAGAATTCTGTCCTTGGGGGAAGTAATTACTTCTAGATGTTTTACTCCCAAGTAGTATGAAAGGATTTCAGATTAGAATACATTAAACATGTTGCCTATTGACAAATCTGAGAACAAAATGTTTCAAAGACACATTTTTCCTAGCAATTACATTTTCAGCTCACTCTCAGAGACCCAGATTGACATGGTTTGTGGACCTCTCAAAATTTACCCTCACAAAGGAAATGAAATACAAGAATACACCCAAGACGTCTGATTAAGGAGATGACTAGCCAGTAAGTCAAAAAATATTCACACTCAAAAGGTGGAATTATGATGCGTCGGTAAGTCAACTAGGAGGCCACTCTCCAAACTTTGTCATATTCATACTGCTCTATACCTTCCTCTGCAGAATGATAAAAGGCCAGTTTCAAGTCATCAGAACTCAAAAATTGACCATCTTGCTGCTCAGAGTTCAGTCGTTTTTTCAGTCATATCTGACTCTTTGTGACCCCATTTGGGGTTTTCTTGGCACAGATACTGGAGTGGTTTGATATTTCCTTCTCCAGTTCATTTTACAGATGAGGAAACTGAGGCAAACAGGGTTAAGTGACTTGCCCAGGGTCACACAGCTAATAGGCATCTCAGGCCAGATTTGAACTCAGGATGATGAATCTTCCTGACTTCAGTCTTGGCACTCTATCCACTGAACCACTTATCTGCCCCATCTTGCTGCTGGGGCCCATATGAAACACTCTGAGGCAAAATTCCCAATGAGTGTTTTCATCTAGACTCCTTCTCCTTCCAATGCTATGCTGCATCAAGATATAACTAAAACGCATATCTGTCTACTGCTAACAACTAGACTGTGGCTATTGACTATGAATATCACTTTAAATCTTTGAACAACAAACAGTAGTGCTGGTGAGCGACATGTTTTCAATAGTTACTGTAGATCACCAAATATCTTATCTCAGATAAATCAATGTGGTTATAATCTCACTATGAAAAATGTATAGGTCTCACACTATCAGAAGTATAACAGGCTTCTATTAAAAATTGATTTGTTTGTTTAAATATGGGTCAGTCTTTGTATGAAACCTAGGAGAAGGATAGACATTAAGTTTTTCAATATGCTGCTGGGTGGCACAGTAAATAGAGCTTGGAGTCAGGAAAACCTGAGTTCAAAATACAGATTCAGACACTTACTAGCTGTGAGATCCTGGGCAAGTCACTTAACCCTGTTTGCCTCAATTTCCTTATCTATAAAATGAGCTAGAGAAGGAAATGACAAACCACTCCAAGTATTTTCCCAAGAAAACCTCAAATGGGGTCATGAAGAGTTGAACACAACTGAACAAAAAAATATTCAGGCTCCAATATGAAAGCTATACTCAGTTACTTACCAGGAATACTTGAGAGAATATTACAATGCCTATGGCTACTTATTTTTAACAGAGTCTTATCCCTGATGACAGGAAAATGAGGTGGGTGTCAGTAACAAGCAAGCCCTCAATACAACTGTTGCAAAATGTCTTCACACAAAACTACTTCCTAGAAATTATTTTAGAACACAATCAAAAGAATTCAAATGAAACAAAATTTGAAGGAATTCAAAGGAATAAAAACTAAAATCACACTACAGTGTTCCCAACATACACACATGACACAACATGTCCCAAAAGTCTTAGTGCAGTTTTGAGATTTAAAAGCAATAAAGGAAATGTTTTGCTTATGGACTATTTTTGTTTTTCCTCTTGGTTCTCAAATCAGAAACATGTAGAAGTTGGACCAACCACCTTAGCATCATAACCATCATCCTAATCCATGTGATTGGTTATGTTGTGGATAATGGGGAAAGAAATATTGGAGTCAAATTTGTCTATTTCAAATCATTCTGGGCATTTGTAAACCATCCTCCTTCCTTCAAATGCTTTCTTCCTTCTTATTTCAATATCCAGTCCCTTTTGTATTGCCCAATATGAGGGAGGGACCTAAAGGGAGCTTTGGGGAGAAGGAAGGAGGCATTCCAACAGTCTCATGAATGTTCTATATAAATATGGATTATCAATATCTAACCCTGTCTGTTCTGTACTTATATTTCATCTCAGGTCTCCAACAAAAGAATGGCGATAACAAGCTTAACCCTTGCTGAAACAGTCAAATTACTTGCCAGTTCGTTCTACCCTAGTATAAGGGCAAAAGATGTTTCTCACCTCGGGATTCATGGAATTCCAGTGTAACATGAGCATCAAATCCAAGGCTGAAGTAATTATTGAAAACATTGAGGGGAAGCTGTAATGACAAATAGAGATCCATGTAAAGTTGACTGACAAAAGTGAAAAGGAAAAGACAGTCTATGATGCCAGGTGTGACTGGTCCTTGGTTTACCCCTCCCAACTGAAGTTCCAAAAATAAGGGGAAAGGACAATGAATTTAAGATCAGGAACTCCTCTAGAAAGGTTCAAGGAAAGGAATCATAACTAACAAACAGAAGTGCAACAAAACCAATAACAAAATGCAAATACCAAATGCAGAATCCACTGGTCTGGATTCTGTGATGACAGGACCTGAAAAAATTTAAAATTTTTCTTTGTGCTTTGTTTAAACTGAATTTGCTTAGCAAATGTATGTGTATCTATGTATCAGTCAGTCCATAAGTATTTATTACGTGCCAGGCAGTGTGCTAAGCACTGGGGATATGTGTGTGCACATATGCATAAAATATCTCCTTCAGAGAAAAAAAGCATTAGAACATTTGGCATGCAGAAGGAGCTCATTTAAAATGAACTATATCTCTTCAGTAAGTACTTACGGTAGGGCCTGTACTTGGAAACATATTTAAACTGTTAATCCAAAGTCACTACACTTAAAAGTAATGATAATCTATATTTTCAAAAAGAAAAATTCTAATTTGAACATTTCGCTTATTCAAACCATGCCCCATAATCTGAATTACCACATCATTAACCCATGAAAAAAATATCACTTCCCTACTTTATGTGGGTTCTCTCTGATAGCTACCCCAATGGTTGATTGATCGACTGCCAAAAGTGTGGCAGAATAAAAAGAGCATTGGTCATTTTACACCCTACCTCCCACCCCCCAGCCCTGGGCCTTAGCCTGACAAATCAGTAAACTGAACTAGACTATAATGGCCAGGGCCTTTCCATCTCTAACATTCTAGAATTCTAAAGGCCAGACTTAGCTTTTTTTCCTGGATAGAGCAAAAGGAAAAATAACCAGACACGCTGCACTGAAACGGGCTTCACGTTGTTAACAGCAAAACATAACTGCTGAGATAATATTTCTCTTGTCACTAAAGTCAAGTAAAATTAGAAAAGTGCATGGCAAATGGCTAATGGGTAACAGATCTCTCATGGACTCACTCTTTTGATCATAACACCAGCATAAAAGACATGTTAAATGACAATCGAATGAGCTAATTCCTCTTAGCTTGGGGAGGGTAATCACATTATCTCTCTGCTGAAGCAGGATTGTGCCTCTTTCTTATCAATTCAACAAATGTGTGCAAAGCACATAGTAGGCCATTTGATATTAAAAATACCATATCTAGGAAATTATTGCAGTGTCTCACTTTCACCATAACCACCAAAATTTTCCATTTGGTTAAAGGTCAAAGAGAAAGAATTTTTTATTATAGAAGAAGTCTTCCTTTTTGACTTAAAAGTAGAGACTTATTGGGTAACCATGATGGGCTGTATAGATGAAATAACTTAAAGTAGAATGCAAACACCCTGAGGGCAGGAACTAATTTTCCCCTGTGGTAGAATATCTTGATTATAGTGAACACTTAGAATATATTTACAGAATTGGATTGAAAAGGCAAAATTAACAGGATAGACTGATAGATAAGGACCAACTCTCACTCAACAGGTAAACTGATCCTTAGGAATGGACAAGAGAGAACCATGAAATGTTGTCTCAGAGAATAATAGAAACCCAGAAACCGCTGAACTAAAATAGAAACTGAATTTGCTGCTCAACTTATATGCAAAAGATGACTTTCACAAAATACCCAAACTATGTAAAAACAACATAGTTAAAAAAAAGGTGGGGGGGAGGTGGGGTAGCTAGGTGGTGCAGTGGATAGAGCACCAGCCCTGGAGGATCTAAGTTCAGATCCAACCTCGGACACATAACACTCACTAGCTGTGTGACTCTAGGGAGGTCACTTAACCCCAACTGCCATGTATCTATCTATCTATCTATCTATCTATCTATCTATCTATATATATATGTATATATATGCATATATATGTACATATATATGCATATATATAAAAAAAAACCCTAGTAAAGCTATCTTGCCTGTAGTGAAAACATAATCCTTCTAAACCTTCTAAAGTTCATCATACAACTTTCTTTTCTTAATGTTCACTGCAAATAAGCTAAAGAGAAAATCCAGCCACCATTTTCTAAATAATAGGCTTGTGGTACATTTATTAAATTACTCTTTAGCTTCTCTAAGCTAAAAAAAAAGTCCAAATTCCTTTCGACTTTCTTCCAAAAATCTCATTTTTCAAAAAATCCTCTGATTTGGTGTTTCTCTTGCCATTAAGGGGGCTTCCAATTTTTCAGACTGTAGAGACCAGAGCTGAATGAGATAGTCTAATAATAGTCTGACCAATACCATGTGTAGGAGACAGACTGCCTCACGGTGGCCACATGGCTTGCTTATTTTAGTTTGGGTCCTGCTCTTTCTAGTCACATGCTTTATAATTAGCACTAATTTCATGGTGTCCAAAGAGATGTTTCCTATTTTAACAGCACCATTCTACTACTGCTGACTGTTCAGATGGTCTACTGTGAAACAGAGGAAATCTTTCAACTTTTAGTTCATGGGATAAGTGGATGAATGATGAGGACAAGGCAAAAAAAAAAAAATCCCCTTGATTTCTCTGAACAAAAGAAAATAGATGTTTCTGAATAGGAATCTAGGCCAGATTTACAGATCAAGCTTGGGAGCAACTAAGTTGAACAGTAAATAGAGGGCTGGCCTGGAATCAGAAAGACCCGAGTTCAAATTCAGCCTCAGACATTTACTAGCTGTTTGATTCTGAGCAATTGGCTAAACCTCTGTCTATATCAGTTTCCCCAAATGTAAAATAAGTGATAATAACATCCCTTACCTTGTAAAGCACTTAGCACAGTGCTGGACACAATAGGTGCTCTATAAATACATATTTCTTCTCCTTCACCCACACAATATGGACAAGTTAGCTATTCCATGAATCAAACAACATCTCTAACCACAATCTTTCATCTAATGAATGCACACCATGAATGAATGAGTACCACAGGCAAAGGCAGTGGTAGAAAAAGACCAGGTAAGAGAATATAGATGTATCCCTATCTCTACTACTAAAGGAGTAAGTCAAAATGTACAAGTCAATGATGGTGAGTGAACTGCATTATGTACAGTTATATAGATATACTCGTGTATATGTATGTGTACATATACATGTATGTATACATATATATGTAAACATATGTGTATATTTATATGTGTATGTTTATATGTATATGTGTATATATCCCTACAAAGTAAAGGGGAAAAGGAGGAAAATAATTGAGTATTTACATATTCAGAAGTCTACTGTGTATATTTGAAATTAAGGCTAGAACTTAGAACCAATTCACTTACTGTTTCAAGCTTAGCTCTGTGAGATTTTAGAAAATGTACCTTGTTTTGTCATTCCTAAAATGCCAGCTCAAAAGTTAAGCCTGAAGAAAGACTGTGATTAGGTATCCCATATTTCCAGTGAAGACAAAGCAGGTGGTGAAAATGGACTAACTCTGATGTAAGCTGTATTTAGTCTGGTCATAAGGAAGACCTTCCTGATCATAAGATATTGAATGAGGTTAAGAGTAGTTGTCTTTCTAGCTACAGATCACAAATCTGGATATCAATATCCTGGACATGGGGATAAAGATAACCTTGAGGGATCAGAAATTTGATAAACATGTCTCATAATATTATTATGCAATTCTGCCTAGAAGGGAAAGAGGATGAATTGGCTGACCTTTGGAAATGACTATGGAATTTAATCATTTCTAAGTCTAAGAGGAATAAGTATTTGATAAGGCTATTATTCTATCATACTGAGCCCTCAACTGAGATGATACTCCTTAATCCCTCAAAAAGGAGTCACAGCGAGATTCCTCTACCAGGAAATGAAGGACCTGTTTCCTATAATTCAGGTTGATGTTTTAAGGTCCTCTCCTAAAGAAAGATCCCTCTAACCTTGCATACACCATCTTCAAGTTCTTCAGGGGGTAAATCAGGGTTTCTTTCTACGTGGAGATTCCATCGATCTAGCTGCACAATAGTTCCATCTTCCACATGGCACAATATCTTGGAGACAGGTTCATCTGTGTAACCCTGAGGGATCAGAAAGCACACATATTAATTAGTACCCTGCTTTCCCAGGCACCAAGTTTTTATTCTGTAAATTGGTGAGGTTGAAATTGCAAAAACACTTTCCTTTGAAAGATATTCATGAAAGGAGGAACCTTTCTCCTACGGAGAACTGGTTTTTTTTGTTTTGTCTTGTTTTGTTTTGTTTTTACAGAACCAATTCTAAGTGGAACTTGTGTTCCCAGAATTTATCTTAAAAGGACATGCAAAAAGACCACCTAAACCTAGACAGCTGTGAATCAAGAGAGTCTTTCTCCTGAAGCCAGTAACTTTATCTGTCGGGAATATAGCCATTTATGATCATAAAGACATAACAGTGGTTGGATTTATAGAATTCACTACAGCCTCTCTCATTACTTTTTAATTCTAGTGCCTTCCTTCTGTTATTTCCTATTTATCCTGTATAAGGATTGATTGTGCATATTTGTTTTTTTCTTGTTTTTTTCCCCCTTCATTAGATTATGAACTCCTTGGGAACAGAGACTATCTTTTGCCTCTTTTTTAACCCCAGTGCTTATCTCAGTGCCTGGCACATAGTAGGCACTTTATAAATGTGATTACAGGACTGACTACAGGATACCACCCCTCCTATTCCTAAGCACTCTCACACTGGGAATACTAGGTACAAGATTAAAGTTTGAGTAAGGCAGAATTTGGAAAAGAGTCGGGCTAAGGATGTAGAAGATACGGAAGGCAATACCTACAGGGGAACTTTGTTCTCCTCAGTCCCCCCTTCTCACCTTTCTAGCAGCCTTGTTCTTTGTGCCATTGGTGCAGAAGCCAACTGAGATATAGTAGAACCAAAAAACTCAATTTCCTAATCACCCTTACTGAAAACTTGGAACAAGTTTTAGAAAGAAACAAAGAATTGTTATAGATAAGAGAAGTCCAGCCGCCCAGAAAGGAAAAATTATTTCCTGTGACAGGTTTTTGAATTGCAACCTATTACATCAAGCTCTCTTTCCATGACACCACAAGTTTAAGCTTCTAAGGAAACTACACATGTACAATGTCATTAGAGACAGAACTATTCCCGTGACGATGATAAATATCAAAGCTGCTACTCAACAGTGCCTCCTCACCATCTGCATTCTGGAAAAAAAGGCAAGATAGTCATCTTGCAAATCAATAACTTTCACTGCTTCCTGCTGAGTTAGCTTGAAACTGGTTCACAAATATACACTTAGTCGGTTGTCCTCATTACCAGCTACGGTCATTCTTCTACCAGAATCACCATTTTAGAAATAATAGTTTGTAATACGGTGAAGTATATCACCAGAGGAAGAAGTTACCTCCACAGGGTAGGGGAAGGGTGTAACTGTGACCTGGATTTGGTCCTCTAATTAGTGCTCATCATGGGATGGAATGATAAAATATAACATCCCACTTCTTTTCACCGTCTATAGAGAAGACTTGATTAAAGTAGGACTTATGTGAAAAAGCTCTGTCACATACTTAGTTGCTCCATACCAAGTTTCTTCATGACTTAACACCCAATTATAAGAAAATCTGAAAAATCGACTGGATTACATCATGGCTCCTGGACATCATCATGTTCCTTTGACCCTTAAACCTAAATTATTATTTTAGATGAAGATACATCCTGATCTCATATTAAAACATCTGCTTGTTACAGAGAAATGATTTCTTGGCAAAATGAACTGTCTTGTATCACTGCAGGCCTTTGAGAGCTAGTCCTTACCCCTCCCCAGTTGAGAGTTCGAGCCAGGTCATTCCCAGTACCCAGAGGAAGAACCCCAACAGGAGGCTGGGGACTGAGTTGAAGTTCATCGAGGATGGAAAGGATCCAACCGACCTACAGACAGATTGGGAACCAAAAGAGAGAGAGAAAAAAAATAAATGAGAAAGAAGCATATCCCAGGGGGCTGGAGGTAGGAGGAAAAAGAAGGAGCCTTTAATAATAATCACATGGAAGAGTTTGTGGGGTTTTTTGGGGTTTCTTTGTTTTTTGGTTTTTTGGTTTTTTTGGTAAAAACAAAAACTGTCTTTGGAAGAGAATGTTCTTTATTTTAAACTTTTAAACTCACTCCAGAATGGTAATCATCTTGAAATGAAAATCAACATTTAGAGCATGTCCTACATAAACAAAACTAGATGCAATCATTCATTCATTTACTTCTTAACTGACTTCAAGAGGTAACATTTTTAAAGAAAATTTCAGGTCTGAGATAATTCAGTGCAAACCTTTCTGCCTATTCTTTCCATCTATAAACATGGTGTACATTTAGTCCAAGAGCAAAGGGCCCTTTAAAAGAGTATGGCTGAAGGCTTTATCCATTCCATCTAAAATTTACCATTTTTGTCAAAGACTTGGCTAAAAAGCACAGATGGCATATTTCTCAAATTTGCAGACAACATAAATCTGGGAAGGATAGCTAACACACTAGATGATAGAATCAGGATTCAAAAGTTATCTTGACAAGCTAGAGCATTGAACTGAATTTATTAGGATGAAATTAAATATGGACAAATAGAAAATTTTATAATTGGGTTTAAAAATCAATTTCACAAGTATGAATTTTAGGGAGGGATTGCTAGATGGCAACTTGGCTCAAAAAAATCTAGAGGTTAGAAATGGAAAGCCAGCTGAACAGGAGCCGACAGAAACATATGGCGACCAAAAAAGCAAATTGGATCTTAGGCCAAATTAGGAAAGGCATAGAGTCTTTTATTAGGGATGTGACAATCCCAAGGTGAAGTAAACATATACAATTCATTACCCCCAAGAAAACAGTAAAGTCTGAAAATGGAAATAGGGTCAAAGATTTAAATATTTATTGAGTGCCTATGATGTGTGCAGTATTGTTAGACATATCAATCTGCCAAAAAAAAAAAGAGAGAGAGAGAGAGAGAGAGAGACATATGACTCAGCCACTTCCCTCAAGAAATGTATAATTTAATTAGAAAAATGGGGAACTGAACAGAGTGTTGCAGATGTAATTTGATCAATACAGAGTACAGTGCCACAAAATTTGAGATCTGGAAGGGACTAATTCAACCCCAGTCTCCCATTTATGCAGATAAGGAAACTGAACTAGAGAAAGAAAAAATTACTTGCCTGAAGTAATGGGACTAAATAATGGCAGAGTTGGGATTAAACCTCAGGTCTTTTGACTTGGTCTAGCATTCTTTGCATTAGATGAAAATTAATTCATAGAATCATAAATATATGATAAATGCTTTAGACATGATCCATTACCTTTAATCTTACAGACAAGGAATCAAGGCCCAAAGAGGTTAAGTGACTTCTCAACGTCATAGAGGTACTAAGTGGCTCCTATGATTAATTCCTCTATTGATTCACTTAGTATAAGATTGATTTCATTCCTTTGGAGGCCATACTGTGGTGCTGGTTTATGTTAAGTCTGTAGTCAACACAAACCCTAGGTCTTCTGAAAATTAACTGATGCTGAAATAAATGTCAAAAAGCCATAGGTCCTGAGCGAGACCCATCCATTCAGTTTAAACTTGCTGCTAACAAGTTTGCTTGACTGGTTATGCATCCACCTCACATCAGAATGAGTAATTGGTGTCAGCTACACCACCTGGTAACTCCATTGGGAAATAAGCGTTCACAGGCTGGCACTGACAGAAAAGAAAGGAAATCAGAATGTGAATTCATGAGAACTAAAAGAAAAACAAACAAGCAAAAGCAAGCATCTAATACCAATCAAAGTGAGAGGAAGTAACGCTACATAAAATAATCCATGAAGTATTACTGGATGTTCAAATCAACAAATCTCCTAGTTAAAAGGAACTTTAGAAGTCATTTAGTCAAACTCCCTTCCCAAAGAAGGGATGCTGCTTTCTCCAGCATCCCTGGGAGATGACTATTCATTCTATGCTTTAACACCTCCATTGACAGGAAACTGATTCTCCCACGTGGGAGTCCTTTCCATTGTTGAAAAGCTCTCATCAGGATGCTATTTCTTGTAGTGATCCAAAATCAGCTTGTCTGTATCATCTCCATTTCGGTATTGTTGCCCCTAAGGTCTCACCACCCAATCCCATGATCACTTGAATTATGATCCTCTGCACTTTTATCAGACTCTACTGATGACAGAGGTAAGGAGATCAAAACTGTGCTCAGTAGGTAGACAGTATGGATGTTCCATGAAGGACACTAAATGCGAATTGTGTCTGCCTGATCCCCTGGTACATCTCCTCTCAGCTAAAAATGGAGGAAGGACTGAATGGTACATTTGATTGGAATAAAAAAGACATTCTCTATTCATACCAAGGGATTTACTTTCTAAACTAGCTACGGATGCTCAGAAATCTCATCATTTCAGTAAGCCATGGGGCAAAGTCTGAAATGACCCTGAAAGCATGAAGTTAAGACTTTATCTTTTGGCACCAGAAAACCTTCAGAGGCATCTATAACCTGCCCTCCTGATTCACAGGGCAATTAATTTTAAAGTTCTGAAACCTCCTCTGTTGTATGACTGACAACTCAGAGCTAGCCATCCTCAGGCCAAGACGAGTGGGTCCCTGATCTCCCCTGGCAATACTTTAATAATGCCCTTGTTAAACAGCCACTCTCACCACAGTTACATGACTGACCACAACTTTCTTTCCTTCTTCTTTCCTCCTTATTGCAATAACTAAGGTCCTGTGCTGCCTTCTTCCTCTCTCTTCCCTTAAGAAAGAGAAGGGCCTTGGTATCAGAGTATCCTACCCCCAGATTTGCAAGGCAGTCCTGAGCAAACAAGAGGCCTTTAAAGATTCTTTTCTTCAGAATAGCAAGAAAAGGCAAAAACAAGCCTGCATTGCAGTAGAAGAAAAAAAAAGAGGGAGTAAAAGACAGGATGAAAACAAACTCCAGTTAAAATATCAGGAGACATAAAGCATCTTGTATCTGATTCCCTGAAATTTTTCCTGGCAACTGCAAAAACAAGATAAAAAGAGGTCAGACTATGATGCTGCACTAGAACCAATCAAAGGATCATAAATATAAAGCTGGAAAAATCCTTAGAGGCCATCCACTCTAGCGCTCTTATTTTACAGATGAGGAAACTAAGTATCAGAAAAGTTAAGCAACTTGCCCAGGGTCATACACATAGTAAGTTATCAAAGACAGGATGTGAACTCAAGTCCTCTGTTTTCCAAGTCCAGCACTCAATCTAGGATGTCACACTTCCTTTCTAGGTCTTCCTTGCCAGGTACCAGTTTCTAATTTGATGGCTAAAGAGCAAGTTCCCCAAGGGAAAGCAGCCACATTTCACAATGTCTTGGCTTTCTCTCACCCAACTCACCCAGTATGGCACTGAGCATGTATAAGAAACAAAAGAGCCTGCTCAATTAATTAACTGCCCGAAAAACTACAACCCGAAGATATGGACCTTTTTTGGCACAAGAGATGAGGAAATGTAGGCTGACTGTTCTCACCCTTTCCCAGTCTGGAGAATCATTTTCTTCTCTTTGCTTAGTGAGTAACTGGGTCCTGAACACCAAGCCCTCCCCTTTTGTCAGAGTAGAGATAGCCACGGCGGCAGCAGCCACCCAGTACCCGGCTGCTGGCTTTGTTTCTAGCACAGGCTGACGCATTTTGAGTAAGATTTTCATTCTGAGACATAATGGCTTTAGGGGAGACAAAGAAGCATTAATTTTCATCAAATATAAGAGCTTTGTGCTCCTTACACAACCGAGAGTGTGTCGCCTTCTGCTGTGTATGCTGAAAAGTGGAGGGAAATCATACAGAGAAATAAAGGAACAAGAAGAACTGGTGAATCTGTGCTCAGAAAGATAACAGAGCCAGAGAAGTTTGGAATAATACCCCCAATCATTTGCAGGTACATCGTGATACTTCCATCTGTCATTTTAATTCATTTGTCCATTTATTACTGATAAACAAAATTATTAGATTTAGAACATGGCTATTTTAAAAATTCTAAAAGAAATCCCTTAAGCTTAATGCAAGAAAAATTTAGATTAGTATTAATATTTAGGTTAGGAATAAGATAACACAGATTTAAGCTGCTCATCTATCCATTCTTTCAACAAATATGTGTGTACCTTTTATATGTATAGTGAGCCCCTCAAGGCCAAGGGCCATATTTTTGCCTTTCTTTGTATCTCTAGCACTTGGCACAATGCCTGGCAAACAATAAGTGCTTAATAAATTTTTGTTGAATGACTGCTGAGAATTGTAATGAAATATAAAGACACGTAATACACACACAGTCCAGGCCCTCATAAAACTTCCCAGCTAGGTGAGGAGACATGAGACAAGAGAAGTGAAATAATGATATGAGAATTTGTCACTAACATAAAGTAGTGGTATCCAAAGGCAGTATATGTACCAAAAGAATGGTATAGATAGTATGGATGATAAACATCACAGGAATTCAGAAGAGAACAAGAAATCGCTGAAGGTCTGGAGCGCTCAGAGAAGGCAGGGTGGGCAAAGCTTCAGGAATCCTTCTAGAGTAAAGGAACAGGAGCAAAGGTACAGATATGAGAATAAAGATGGTGTACTTGGGAGATACTAACTACAATCTGCTTTAAAAAGCAGACAATAAGAATGCAGCAGGTTAGACCCACATCTCAGGGTGCTTTAAATGCCAAACTAAAAAATTAGGATTTACAATAGGGAGCCACTGAAGACTTGGGGGGGACAGGAAGAAAGAGAATTTGAGGCAGATTAACTTGGCAGGAGTATGAAGAACTCTATAAACTCTGTGAGGTCAGGGATTATTTCTTTTTTTGTCCCTGTACCTCCAGTACCCAGTAAAATACCTTTGCACATATGCAGTATGGTGCAGTAAAGAGAGTATTGTCTCTGGAGTCAGAGGGCCTGAGTTCAAATCCCATATTTAATGTGTATTACTTTGTCAACCTCTTTTATATAATAGAGCAATTAGATTATGTTGTCTCCAAGGCCGTGCTCTGGGGCTATGATTCTATGAATTTTTAAAAATATTTTTACACCTGAGTATTAATAGAGATGACAGTTCCCTTTCTACAAAGTGAAACTCTTAGAAAGATGGATTATGCTTATCAACATAAGGGAGCTGGCCCTTTTGATACCATAAGAGTGGGTGGTAAAGAAAATGTCTTTGTAAATGGCACTTTGTAAATGTTTGAATGGAAGAATGGATATAGAGATTCTCTTCCTACTTTAGGTTAAAAAACTACTAAAATAGTATAGATATTTAATGAAAACTTGGAATTGGGTAATTGTAGTAGAGACAGAAAGGAATGACCAGAATATTCATTCTCTACCTCCCTCAGCAACTCTATCTGTCACCCTCCTGGCAGTAATTCTGACAGGCTGTGTTAGTTGTTCTCACTAACTATATATTTTTAAACCTAGTTAACGACCCGTTAGATTAACCAGATACAGGAGATAGGAGATGTGGGAAAAAATCACCACTTGATAGGCAAGACCTTGGGGATGAGAGGAGAAGGCAAAGAAAGGTAGGAACAAAGAAGTCTTGTTACCCTATGGAAACCAAAGGAAAATAGCAATAGCAATTAAAATGGGGAACATTCCATGCACCTACCGTTCCATCTCCGCCACAGGCCAGGATTCGAAGATTCGGCACTTTTCTATACAGCTCAAGCCTTGCGGAAGAAAGAAAGAAGTTCACATTAACAAAAGAAAAACCACACAACAAGCTGGCACAGTCCAACCAGAGCTTCAGGCCCATACAATAGTGGCATTGGGGGTCCCCCCCGAAGTGACAGTAGGAAGCAGGAACACCAATATTAGCACCAAAGATGGGAAAGGAATGAAGGCATCCAATTATCAGCCGTATGTCTGCAATTTAAAAAGGTACAGAATTTCTACCTCTTCTCATTATGACTATTGTATTCATCTATTTGTTCTTCTTTTAGCCCTGTCTATCTCTCAGTTACCTTGATCCTCTTCAAAAAAATTTCCAAAGAACCCACACATACAAAAATATTTATAGCAGTTCCTCCTATGGTGGCAAAGAATTGGAAATTGAGAGGATGCCTATCAACTGGGGAACGGCTGAACAAGTTGTAGTATATGAATGTAATGGAATAAAATGGTGCTATAAGAAATGATAAGCAAGCAGACTTCAGAAAAACCTGGAAAGACTCGTATGGACTGATGCTGAGTGAAGTGAGCAGAACCAGGAGAACATCGTCCACAGTAACGGCCACATTGTGCGATGACTAACTTTGATAGACTTAGCTCTTCTCAGGAATGCAGGGATCTCAGACACCTCCAAAAGTCTCATGATGGAAAATGCTATCCACATCCAGAGACAGAATTATGGAGTCTGAACGCAGATTGAAGCATACTATTTGCTCTTTTTTTTTCTTCTATTTTGTTTTGTTTCTTCTTTCTTGCGGTTCCTCCTATTGGTTCTAATTCTTTTTTTACAACATGACTAATGTAGGGGGCAGCTAGGTGGCGCAGTGAATAGAGCACCAGCCCTGAAGTCAGGAGGATCTGAGTTCAAATCTGGACTCAGACCAAACACTTGACACTTACTAGCTGTGTGACCTTGGGCAAGTCACTTAACCCCAATTACCTAAAAAAAAAAAAAATGACTAATGTGAAAATATGTTTAATAGGAATGTATATGTAGAGCCTATATCGCCATCTTGGGGAGCAAAGCAGGGAAGGAGGAGGAGAAAATTTGAAACTCAAAAGCATATGGAAGTGAATATTGAAAATTAAAAATTAATTAACTAATTTTTTTTAATTTCCAGCCTTCTTTCTCTCTTTTTTCCCCACTTCTTTCTTCCTGTCTCAATAAGAACTATATTTACTTATTAGAAAACAGCCTTTATATTTCTTCTACTTCTATTTTTCAGGGAAATACTATGATAGATACTAGCTACTTGTCATCCAATATGACCAAAGGATTAGAAACTTAGAGCTGGAAGGGAGCTTTGAGACTGTGTGGTTGATCAAATGACAAGCAAATATTAAGTGCCTATTATATTCCAGGCACTGTGCTAGACACTGAGGATACAAATAAAATGAAATAAACAATCTCTACTTGAAAAAAATTTACATTTTAATGGGACAGACAACTGCATCTGAGAATATAGATGCATATGTGCATATATATATACATATATATGGCATAAATATAACTTAAATACAGACATATACAAATTAGTTCCTGTAGAAGGTAGTGTTTGAACTTCTTTCAAGATTCCCTGGGCCCCCACTTGCTAGGAGGCCTTTGAGGCAGAAGTGAGAAGGGAGAGCCTTTAGGCATGGTTAATGGCCAACACAAAGACACAGTGACAGAGTGTCATGTATGAAGAACAGAAGACTAGTTGGGCTGGATTGCAGAGTGGGGAAGGGTAAGTGGTATATAATGTGAAAAATGGTTTCTCTTGGTAATCTATGTCTTGGAGATTCAGAGCTCCCAGCCCCTCCAGCCTTCTGTCCAAAGTTCTTCAGAAGGACATTACTGCTAATGAGATAGCGTTGAATCTTCTTATCCAGGTCAAACCCAAACCTCAATTGATTTTATTCTACTCAGGTTTGGGTGGAGACAGAGCCTAGACTGACAGAGGCTAGGAGTGGTCTGGAATGCTGGTAGATTGATATTAGCCCCTGTTGAAAAGGCATATAACTCTGTACCCCCAAATCCCAAATCGAGTCAGTTCTGAACTGGCCCCCTTAAAGGGGCCCAGTTTTGGACTGAACTCCCATGCAATGCATGTCAAGCCAGCTTAAGAAAAATTAAACCGTATCCTATTTTCTTTCTTGGAACATCTCTGTAATTTACTGGGGTTTGACAGTAACAAGTCTGGACACACAAGCCAGTGCCATGTTGTGAGGGGCTTTAAAAACTAACAGTAGTTTACATTTTATCCTAGAAGCAATAAGAAGCTACTGAAATCGATTGAGCAGATAAGTCATATGATCGCATCTATGCTTAAGGAAAATTACTTCGGTAGCAGTAAGAGATTTGAAGCAGGGAGACCAGGGAGATTATTGACATAATCTAGCAAAAGGCGATGGGAGCCTGGACTAAGATGGCAGCTGTGTGAGTGGACAACAAGGGTCAGATGAAAGAGATATTTTAGAGGTAGAAATGGCAAGATGTGGCTGTTCATTAGCTATGTGGCATGAGGGAGAGAAGCTGAAGCCTAGTGAGGTGGTTCAGTTATTTGTAAGAGGTCATATAGGCAGGAGGATGCAAAGCAAAGATGTAAATTTCAGGTGTCTAACTCAAATCTAGGGGTCTTTCATCCTAGCTCACATTACTTTTTTCTAGACTAGACTCTTCACCATCAGATTTACGAAATTTACCAGAGAACATAGGTAGGAAGAACACACACATACACACACACACACACACACACACACACACACACACACACACTTACAAAAGAATATACTGTTTTGGGTTGGTTTTTTTCCCTGACTGTTCTTGATATTTTTCAGGATCTGAAATCAGGTCTTTTGGTCTTTAATGTCCTGGAATTCTCTTGCCTAGTAGGCAAAAACGGCACACTGCAGTCTGCCTTGGAGAAGGTGAGTGATCCATAACCTCAGAAAATACTTGTAACAAATCAGTTTTCATGCATACTGATCCTCAAGCATTAATTAAGCAATTTACCCCCAATTAAACTTTTCTTTTCACTGGCATTTTTCTCAGTGTTCTCTGAAATGTATAGACTTGCATTAAATCTAGTCAGGACACAGAATAGACAAATGACAAGCCAGTTTAGTTGAGGAGCCTTAAGGAGACTGAGCCCAGAGAAGGCAGGGATTTTCGCAATCCTGCAGCAAACCCTAGTGGCACAGAATGTAATAGAAGAGGAGAACGTGAGCAAGAATGATCTTTGGAATACTGTATTCTCTAATGACCTCCTAATATGTTGGTTTTTCCATTACACTAAGCTTGTTTTCGATGGGTCTAAAAACAATCTAAGGGACAGCAGCAGCAATGACCCTTCTCCATTCCAGTGCATTCACTCTGCTAATTATTTCCTATTTATCCTGAATGTAGCTTATTAGTACTTCGTTGTTCACATTCTGTCACTCCATTGGACTGTGAGCTCCTTTACAGCAGTGGCTGGCCTTTACCTTTCTCTGCATTCCCAGGGCTTGGCACAGTGCCTGGCACATGGTGGGCATTTCATATTTATTGACTAAATCATAATGAAGATGAAGAAGCATGGTAGAGTAGAAAGTACTGGATTAGAGAAGAGAAATCAACAAGCATTTTTAAGGCATCTACTATGTGCCAGGCACCGTGCTGTCCTTTACAAAGATCCAGTCCTTTGATCTCACTGGATTAGGACTTAAAAATCATGGGTTCTAGTCTCAGTTTGACCACTCACTAGCAAACCAGTTAAAATCAATGAACCTCAATTTCTTCATGTGTAAAATGTCAGACTAAATAATAATAATTAATATTCATGTATCACTTTAGGGTTTGCAAAGTACTTTCCATGCATTATCTCACCTGAACTTCACAACAACCCTCAGAGCTAATCAATTCCTCCTCACTTTATAGACAGGGAAGTCAAATGACTCACTCCAAGTCACAAAGTAAGTGGCAGAGTTGAGATTAGAATTCAGGTCTTGACTCCAAATCGGAGGATATCATATCATGCAGCCTCTGAAGTATAAAGTTATTATTCCCATTTTTTCAGGTAAAGAAGCTAGGGCCCAGGCAGGTTAAGTGACAAGCCCAGAATCACACAATTACTAAATGTCTGAGAGGGCATTCTCTAGGACTTCCCGACTCTGAATCCTGTGTGTTTTAGAGGAAGTTAGGTGGTGCAAGAGATGGAGCACAGGACCTGGAATCAGGAAGACCTGAATGCAAATCCTGCCTCAGATACTTACCAGCTATGTGGCACTGGAGACAAGTCACTTAACTTCTTTCTGTCTGCCTCCATTTCCTCCTCTATAAAATGGAAGTAATAATAGCACCTATCTCCCTGGGTTGTTGCAAGGATAAAAATGAGACAGTGGTTTGCAAACCTAAGGTGTTCTGTAATTACTATATTATTATAGCCACTATATCATGCTGCCTCCCTGATCCAAAGGTATATTAAAATAATAATTCACATTAATATAGTGATTTGAAGCATATAAAATATTTCAGAGCTTACCAATGTTTATTTTAACTATTGTTAAACCAGTATTTGCCACATTCCAACCCCAAACATACTCAATATCAATGGGGAGATGTCAATATTATCTGGGGACAGGGGTAAGAAACAGCTGGATAGTGGCAAAGGAGTCACTCTTTTCCTTTACCTTTTCTCCCTGTCTTCCTGTCCCCTTAAGGCATAAAGAAACAAGATTAAATTTTTCTTTACAGAAAGCCACTTTTGCATGTGAACGGTCCAAAGGAACTCAAGAGTAGTTCTGGAAGGGTTACGGATTTCCCACACATCATCCCTCTCATCTGTGAACATGCACATGCTCAGAAATAGCCACACACATACTCAAGCATTCTCCACATCCAGATATACCAACAGATATACACTCACGTGCATATAATTTAACTACTCACTCCTTCTGCTGTACATGCAAAGATACCTACCCAAAAAACACACCCAAAGTTGCATGCACACCAATGATACAAACACACACACACTCAGAGTTACTAACAACTGCATATTCATAAGTACACAGGTACATTCAAAGGAGTCAGTCAATAAATTGGTAAGCTTACTAGGAAGTTATTAGAGAAATAAATAGGAATGGCTAAAAAAGAAAGTGGGTGAATAAGGAGGTTGGTAAGTGAGAGAAACAATGACAGTAGTGGTGAGAAAAGTGACCACAAGATTTTAAGGTCTGGATCTGCCAAAATGGAAATTTTCTCTTCCAGTGCATACTAGCAACTTAGCTTAAAGTCTCAGAGACTTAAAAGACTAGAGCAGTGATAATTTAAATGACTTGTTGATAGTCATGCTATGTTTCAGGGTAAGGATTTATTACTGTCATCATCATCATCATCATCATCATCATCATCTAGCATTTACATAATACCTCCTATATGCCAGGCACTGTGCTATGTACTTTACAAATATTATCCCATTTGATTCTCCCTTTGAGGTAGGTGCAATTATTATCCCTATTTTATAGTTAAGAAACTGAGGCAAACAGAGTTTAAGTGATTTACCCAAGGTCATATAAGAACTGTCTGAGGCTGGATCTGAATTCAGGTCTTCCTGACTCTAGGCCCAGCACTCTATCCACTGTGCCACAAATCTTAAAACAATTACAAGGACAGCATTCTATCTACTTATAGAAGAAACTTCACTCTCTCCATTAAGTTATTATAGGACAATTATTTCCCAGATCAATCTAAAATTGAAGCTTGTTACAAAACAGTATGTGGGTGTGTGTGTGTGTGTGTGTGTGTGTGGTCTTCCCACCTCCATTTTCTAGGTTCTTCTCACCAGTCCAAAAGAATAAAGGAAAGTTTTGACCAGTAAGTATCTTGGTGAGTATTTCAGAACTTACGCATCTCTTGGCCCTTCCTGAGAAAGATCAAAGACCTGCCGTGGATTCAGATACCACATGAACATCTGCAGAATTTTGGTCCCCTGTGGTGGAAAACAAAAGGGGGGAGGATACATAGTTATTTTTTTAAATCACGTAAATTATGCAGATCATACAAAAATCATAATTTAAAATATTGTGTCTAAGGTGTTGGGATAGCTAGAAAATATAATACTGAAGAGTTGAATGTCTCTAGTAGAAAAGTTACCTTGATATTATCAATTTTGTTTTTATTATTCAGATCAATCTCATTTCAAACAATTTCACATTAAACCATATGGGATCTAATAGCCAAAGAGAATTTCTTCTTTGGGTAGTTGTCTTCTAAATTAACACCTAGGTAGGATAAAATCCCTAGTTTCTCAAGATAATTAAGCGATAAAAAAATATTTTATCACAAAAATCATTGCACTGAAAGGAAGCTTAGAGATCACATCCCTATAAAAAGGGACAGTCTATACTGACTATATAAGCTGCCACCTTCATCTTTTTGGGCACTGGTAGAAAATATCACATGTATAGATATAAGAAATGAGAAGTCAAGTTTAACGACGGCTGATCTTGGTACCCGAGAGCTAATGAGGAAAGATCCGTAATTTCCCATCTGATTGATCTCCAGGAACGCACATCTTACAAGATGGCATCAACTCTGAAAGTCATCAGTCCTTAGTAATCCCTGCCTCAAAGTTTCTTCTCTTCCTCTGAGACAAGATGGAGGAAGGTAAACATCTGAAAGCCTCTCCCAGATTATTTAAGGAAAGCACGTAAGGCAGTCATCTCATCATTTCCCACCCTGCTATAGGATTTCATCATGCCTCTATTCTGGTTACTCCTCTACCACCACCCCCTTTTCAGTTACATGCTGTTTTCTCTCATTAGATTATGAGCTCCTTGAGGGCAGGGACTGTCTTTTATCTATCTTTGTATTCCTGTGCCTGGCACATAGTAGGCACTTGATAAACTGAGTGACTCACATGTCCCTCAACCTGGTAGAGAGATGGCAGAATACCAATGACGACTGTGGCATGGGCTCATATATTGTCATGTAAATTTGTTTTGTTTGATTATTTTTTGTTGTTATAGGAAAGGGTTTTATGGCAGGCATGAGGAGTGGGGGTGACATTAGGGAATGTCATTTGTACAAAAAAATCAAAATATTTTTTAAATATTTTAATACTTAAGATTTGCTTAAGAAGCAAAGCACAGGTCTTTATTCGGCAATGTTAAAGAAAAGAGCAATGAAATGTGAAGGGATGAAAAGTCGACACTATCCATATGAATAACTTTTACTGAATTAGATCAGAGGACCTGGGTTCAAATCCTATCTCTACTAAAATCTATCTGTGGGATCTTGAGTCTCTACTTTGGGTCTCAGTTTCCTTACCCACAAAATGAAGGAGTTGGACTAGATGACCTATAAGGTCCTTTCTATCAACTATAGTAAAGAGTCAATATTTGACCTATTGGCCAGGATACCTCTGGTGTCATCATGGGCCTATCTTGATGTATCTCATAGTTACTATTTTCTAAAACATCCTTTGTAATGCTATAGTGTGATTCCATTACTGTAGGAAACTCCTTGTGTGGAAATTCCCTCTATCAGTGTAGATCAGCCATTCCATCTGTAACTCATAGTTGTAGAAATTTGCTTGGGTATTGAATGGTTAAGTGACTTGCTTCTTAATCACATAGCTACTATAGTATGTGCAAATGGCAAGACTTGAACCCAAGTCTTCCATCTTGTTCTGGCTTTCTTTTTATTACACTACAGTACCTTCTTTTTCTCAAGAATAATACCTCAGGCTTAAGTTTGTCCATTTAGTATTTTTGTTAGTCCTTATACTGATTTTCACTTCCAGGCTAACTCCTGGTTTATAATTAAGTGGAGTTTTAGAGCTGATTGGTACCTTGGGATTTGTAGTTCATGGGGACAAGTGTTCCATTGTCAACCCTGAAAAATTATTCGGGACTAACCTTATCTTTGAGCCAATAGACAGAATGGAGTCACAACTGGAGTTGTTAAAGAAACACATATGGTCTGGAGGAGAGATTGAAAGGAAGTAGTAGGGAGCTCAATAACTTAGCAGCAGTAGTAGTAAAGGAGTCAGCCTTCCCAGTCCAAGACCTAATGAATGGAGCTCATAGGGACAGCTAGATGGCACAGTTGATAGAGTGCTGGGCCTTAAGTCAAGAACACTCATCTTTTGAATTAAAATCTGGCCTCACTTACTAGTTGTATGACCTTGGGCAAGTCATTTAACCCTGTTTGCCTCAGTTTCCTCATCTGTAAAAATGAGCTGGAGAAGGAAATAGCAAACCACTCTGGTATCTTTGCTGAGAAAATCCCAAAATGGTGCCACAAAGAGTCAGTCATGACTGAAACGACTGAACAACAAAAATATGCACGTATATACGTATGTTTACACATATAAATAACATCCACATCCACATATGTATATATGTACATTGTATAGATGTAATTTTATATATTATACTTATTTTCCAGAAGCTAAAGTACTTCTAATGTTTCCACACTTTGCAACAACCAAGGTTCCCTCTGCTGTGTACTTATAATAATGTTTAGCTGCCATCACCACCATCCTGGATGACATCCAGCTAACTGTTCCACCTCATCAAACAACATGTTTTGCTTCAGCCCTTTCTAGACAGTTTTATCTACATAATCATGGCTAAGCTAACGACTGGAGGAGGGGGAGTGTTGTTATTAGGCCATCACTGTTCCATTTGCATATTTACTATTGGGTCATTTGTAGACTGTCTGGCCTGTTCCTAATCTGCTTGTTGAATTTTCATGGGGTAACACTGTAGTCATTTTAATGACTGATTTATACAAACGTCCATCTGACTTGCCGTAGAGGCAGTTCAATTTTGCAATCTGGGAGCAGTATCAATTGTTGATGTAAATTACTCCTTTCTACCTTTTGTCACAGTACAGTGAACCTCAAAATTGCAGTTTTTTTTCTGGCAATACATGCAGTGTGAGACATTAACATTCTGGTTCTACATGCTTCTAGGATCACCTGATAAAAAATGAACTGAGAAAAAAAAATTGGAAACCATTGAAGAATTATACTCATAAACCCACAAACTCTCTAGTAGGTAATAATGATAATAGTTCCCATTTATATAGTGCTTCAAGGTTTACAAAGCATTTTATAAGACATTATCTCATTTGACCCTCAGAACAATCTTCTGAGGTAGGTATTAGTTCACATTATCCCTATTTTATAGATGAGGGGAGACAGTGGCTAGTGGATTTCAAGGGACATACTTGGACCCAGATTTTTCTGGGACCAAGTCTTGTCATTGAAATATATACTAGCTGTACAACCAGGGACACAACTTCTCAGAGTCCCTAGTCAATTGTATGACAGAGAAATTAGCTATCTGTATAGGTGGAGGGAATTTCCTCTAACAGGAATTCTCTTCATAGATGATATCACAGGTCTGGATTAAGTGAAAGAGAAATGAGGAGTGTGGAACCCCAGAGAGATTAAAGGACTTCTCAACATCACACAGCCAGCATCTGAACCACAATTTGAACCCAGGTGTCCCTTACTTCAATTCCAGCCCTCTAACCACAAGGCCACATTGATTTTAGTGACCATAATGAGCCACACTGAGGTTTTAAATCACCAAATTAATTGACTCAGCTTTGCATGACCATTTCTTTATATTTCAGTCATGATCTAATTACTTTTTCTTCTACAACATGACTAAATCTTTCCAAACTAATGTGTTCATTAACAAAAGCAATCAATACCTGAATGAAACCACTGGATTGTGTTAAACCAATGGAAGACAGAGTTCTAACTCACATCTAAGCGATTTCTGTTAATGGTTCCCTCATCTCCAAGGTGCCCAATTTTAATACTTCATCAGATGCAACTGACTCATCTCTGAAAGAGAAGTCACTTTTTTCTCACTGAAATCACTTAATTGATGCCTCAGCCATTTACACAGCTGCTATTCTTTGTGAAATTACCAAGAACCACAAATTGTATGCAACATGCAAAAACAGCACCCATGATATTAAATTGTCTATGATCGAAGAGCTAGAGCGGAAAGAGACCTTGGAGATGTTCTAATCCAGGTGTCAAACACCTGTCCTTGGGCCACATGCACCCATATGCCCTGGAGTGCCAAATCTCATTAAAATATAACTGGGAAATATCGAACAAAATAAAAATACAATTAAACATAGATAACAAAACAAAGTTGACATGAGGCCAATGGGGATCCTCATATATGGATTACTGGCCCCATTTCTATTTGTTTAGCAGTCCTGATTCCCCTCATTTTACAGATGAGGGAACTGAAGCCCAATGAGGAGTGACTTACCCTTGGTTACAAAACTAGCGAAGTAACAGATGAGGGATTCTAACCGCAAATCTTCTCACTCCAAATTCACACTTTCCCAAACACTCTTCTGCTCCCACACACTGAGACTGAGAAAAGCACCCAAGAGTCCATCGCAGTTCAGACAGGTGTGTATGGTTCTCATTCACAGCACTGTAACTTCAATGCCTCACTGGCCTTTTGGTATTGTGGGGCTGGGTGTGCCAAAAGAATGCTCTACTATCCTATTTCTAGCCAGGCTAAGTGTAATTTCCCCTGGGCAACATTGAAGAAGGTAGGTAGACCTGTAAATCTGATACTAAATGAGACATACAGAAATCATTAAGAAGAAATAGTAAAAAGCAAATATGCATGATATTATTCAGACAACTCCATCTGCCAACCAGAACACACTGATGAAGGGTTAAAAAAAAAAAAGGTTTTGAGAGGTGCTTCACTACATCACGGGTTTTTTCACTTCTCACGGCCAATGTTTAATCAAGACTAAGAACACTGTAATACAGGAAAACTGATATCAATGAGCATTTATTTTGTTGATGTTGTTTAGTTGTTTCAGTCATGTCTCACTCTTGGTGACCCCATTTGGGGTTTTCTTGGCAAAGATCCTGGAGTGATTTGTCATTTCCTTCTCCAGCTCATTTTACAAATGAAGAAACTGAGGCAA